ATATAAAAAATTTCTAATGATAAATTATATATTTTGTTAAATTTATGTAATAAAAATTAAAAATGAATTTAATTTATTTTTATAATAAAAAGTGAAACAAACACCTCCTCAATTTAACACTTTAACATTTTTAAATTTAAAATATGAGATAAATGAAGAAGAAAGGATATGGGAAAAGAAGAGCATCTTCTATATCATAATTCATCATTAGACCAAAATAAAAAAAATTACGCTTTTTGGGTTATATTATTTATTAAAAATATAATTTGACTTGTTTAGCACTTAGTGAATTACTGACTATTCTCCTTGTAGAATGTGCTTAAGAAATTATGAGTTAAGTTTTAAACCTAGATCCCCATTTCCTCCTTCTCTTGAAATTATTTTATTGTTAAAAAAAATATAGTTTGATTTATAAAATTATAAAAATATTTTTAATAAAATAACATAAAAATAATTTTATTAAAAATATTTTAATAAATTTATCTTATAAAACTTTTTTTAGAAAAAATTTACTTTTTATTGATTTTTTAATCTCTCCCAATCTTTCTTCTTAGAAAAAAAAAAAAGAAGAAAAAAAGAGAGAGATTTTTATTAAAAATAAAAAAGAAGGGCACAAATCGCAGGCTGAACGGTTCAATAACTGATGGCAACCTCCATCATGAAACCGTCAAGTCAACAAAATAAACGGTGATACCCCGATCCCCTAGAGTAACGGCGTTCTCTTCGTTACACAGAAAAACCACCTGAGTCAATTCTAGTCAAAGACACAAATACCCTCTCCTCCTTTCGAACCTTCTGTGCGTGTCTCTCCCCTAATGTTTGTTCTGATGCGGAAAGTCAGATACTGTATTTACTAAACATCAATTTTCAGACGCCGCTTATCGGATCATCATCGGTGCCTGAATACCCGACACTGTAAGTAGGAACCACCACACTGTTGGTTATTTTCACCCTCTCCGCCGAGAATCGACCATGGCTGGGAGGCAGAGCTGCGAGGTTCCCCAAGCACAAATGGAGAAACGACACCGGGAACAACAGAACGATCAGTTGGAGGAAGAGGAGGAGGACGAGGACGACCTGGAGCCAGAGGAGGAGGAGGAGGAGGATGAAGGAGAAGCGACTCCTGTTAGTGAGTTTCGAGGGGTAGAACTGGTGGATGGAGCTGAATCGAGAGAAACGCATTCAGAAACCCTAGTGGTGGCCGAGAGGAGGGATAACGATCGACGTGCTGGTAAGCTTGTGTTTTCAGAAGCAATTTTGATCCTTTCCAGAAAAAAAAAAAGTGTCTTTCTGTCTAAAAATTGGAATTGTTGTGTACAGGGTTGCTGGAGAATTCTACTTCAGAATTGCAAGGAGGATCTGAATTGAAGGTTAGAGTTCAAATTTACATTTATTTACTTCTTTTATTACTGAATTTCTTTCCTTTGCTCTTGAGTAATACAGTGCTTGCACTGTAGCCTTTTTTTTTTTTTTTCATTTATACTGTTTTTGATCTATTTGATTGAACTTGTTACTCTATTTGCGTGTATTTGTGATTGGGAAGCGGAGGGGGTCCAGAAACCAGAAACCGGAAACTCTTGTTCAAACAAGGATGAGGCATTGATATCTAGGAATTTTGCTTGGTGGGAAACAGAATGATTTGCTCTCTCATGTAGTTAGGGTTCATTTTGATAGCTGTCTGTCAGTTTCTTTCAGCAAATGCAGTTTGGTTCTTTGCTTTTGGCTTTTTATGTGGAGTTTTTTTTATGTTTGGTTCTTATTCAAGTCCAACTCTAATTAGTTCTGGAACCTTGGATGTATTGTGTCTACTAGTACTAGTAGTTAATATAGAAAGTAAGTTTTTCTTATATAGAAAAAGGAAATAAGCAATTTAAGTTTATCCATCATATTATTTTCTTAATATGTTCTTTCTAAATCTTTCTAGGTGCAAGTTGAGGTGTCTCACCAAGTAGCTTTGCCAAGTTCAACAACTCAGTGTGATGATGCAGCTCAGACACAATATCAGCTTCAGTCATCTGCCTCCAGTCCAACTGTACCAGAAGAAAGCCTATCATTGCAGAAAGTCAATGGCACTTCCATGCCCGAAGCCAACCGGCAAAGTTGTCCTGATCTTAAAATAGTATCTGTTGTTCCGATTTTGAAGACACCTGTTTTTGATGGTTACAATTGGAGAAAATATGGTCAGAAGCAAGTCAAGAGTCCTAAAGGTTCTAGAAGCTATTACAGGTGTACGCACTCTGAATGTCATGCTAAAAAGACAGAATTCTCTGATGACACGGGCAACTTAATAGAGATTGTGAATAAAGGCCTGCATAGTCATGATCCACCTCGGAAAAATAACTGCACAAGGGAAAGCAGGATTGTTTCATCTGCTGGGCCTTTTATAGGAAATAGTGTCACAGAACAATCCATCAGAATGCGTAATGATTCAGATCCATCTACATATTCAAAAGAATCAATGCAAGAAATGACTGTTGTTCCTGAAAGAAAACTGCAGTACTCAAGTTATTCTGATAGAAACGGCAAAACAGAAGTGAAGGAGGAGCATGAGAGAGAACCAGCACCAAAAAGAAGGTAAGCTATCCTATGGACTATTTTCCTCTTTGGCTAGGCACCTGTGTACCATTTCTGTTTAAAATAGGTTGAACAGCATGTTTATGAATCTGGTTTAATAGTTCCTCTTCTTTTCTTAAAACCAGAGTGAAGAAAGACAGCATGGACTCTCCTGACTCTGAGGTAAAACCTGGGAAAAAGCACAAATTTGTCTTGCATGCAGCTGGTGATGTGGGGATCTCTGGTGATGGTTACAGGTGGCGTAAGTATGGACAGAAAATGGTGAAGGGAAATTCTCACCCGAGGTGCCTGTTCCTTTCACTTCTGAACCTTTTTCTTTAAAGGTTTAGTATTTTGATCATTACATATCATTATACGTTTGATCGGCTACTGCTTTGTCCTTATTGGGTTTGGCATGTGGTCATTTGTTTACTGTATAGCTATACATTTTTGTGAACAAAAAGCTCAAGAGAACAGTAAGAATTCATTAGCAACTTCTGGTAAATTTCAGGCTG